AGGTATGACATCGTGAATTTCGATTAACAAAATGTAATCAATATTCATTCTGTGTGATGGAATCAAGAAAATCCTAGCGGTAATTTTGCGACAAATTCACTTCATCTGACTTCTCTCGTAGACGTAGAATACGTTAAAAATTTGACACACCTCAAAATATTTCGAAATATCGGGGCCTTTATTTGGCTAAACGGCCCTTGAATAGTATTGAAATATTATAAGCTTTGGAGTAGATCAAATTCTGTAAAATGCTTCACACATTGACCTTCATCGTTCATGGAGATAATTGAATGCGAGTCTATCCTATACAATGTGACATGAGGTGATCAATCTCTACCATGTCAGTACTCTTTACACTCACAAAGCATTCTGGTAGCAATTAATCGCGATCGTAGTGATAGATATAACTCCATTATACCTCCTATCATTTTACTATGCGTTCACCGATCCAATGAGAGTTTCACTTAGTAGTAGCTTTGATTTCTATCAGCTTATAGTATGATAAAAAGCCATTGTATTTTAAGATAAGAAATGAACCAGTCATTTTTATACACGGTAATGGCGATGCTGCACTACACACGCAAGCACCTTTGGCAACTGGATGGAGCAGGTGAGATATTCTATGAATAATTTGTAATTCAATCCTTCTTAAATGAAAAGCATAAACCACCCAAAAATTGTTTGTTGATGTTTATTTGACGATTTCTATTATGAATCCTAAAATACATACGTTGAACTAGCTTTTTTCATATAGTCAGGTGCACATCCGCTACCTCAGTAGAGGAAAATGGAGTAAACTGAAGTCGCTGTGTTTATATTTTTGCTTAATGCAACCTAGAAAATCCGAAAGGCGGTTGAGCGTCACCTATAATCGTTCTGTACTAAACATGGGATGTATGTGAAATATGATTATCAGTATAGTTACTAGCTATAAGCAGAAGCAGACCGTAGAGCAGTACATTCGAATACTAAGCGAATCGCAGAATTATTCAACCCTAACTATCTATTGCTAATGACTATTGGTAAGTTTCAGGCAAATTACATTGAATACTCATACTCAATAAATTATACCTCATTCCTTATTTAGTTCCACTCAATACATCTCCTCTTCTGACTGTACATCAACTATTGTGACATATTATTTATTTATAAATATTAAGAAAAGATTTTTATCCGTTATCACAAAGCATGACAGTAGATGATCACAAAGCAGGACGCTGCAGCTAAAGCGCGCTGAAAATAGAAACAACTTTTCACTAGGAAATATTAAATAACTATGCATTATCTACAGTCGTTTTGCAGATCGATTCAGTACTTCATGGAGCAAAACTATACACAAGGAGAATTATATGCCACAACCTGGGGCGATGCATGGGGAAGCGGATCAATTTTGGACAGTTACAGTACCATGCATACATGCAGTAATCTGTTGATGCTACGCAGGTACCTTTATAAGAAAAAACAGACAAACACATATGATGATGATGATGACGTACTGTCGGAAATCACCTATTCAATCTTTGTCCTTTCGTAAAAACCCTACAGTACTTCAGTCATATGTTATACGACAATGCATCACGATAATTCAGCACTAAGCTGTATCTATCAAATCTTCAAGTGGACTGTTTCTAATAGGGAATCGCAAAAGTCGAAAAAAAACTAAGCAACAGCTAAAAACATTTCATAGATCACTCCAATCCTAATGTGTCTATTTTGACTCAGAAGTCACTGAATGCATATCGCTGGAACTCATTGTAAATTGAGTATTCTCTAACTATCCAAGCATTCTTGTTATCTACTTATCAGTTTATTCTAAAACACATTGTGGAAAACAATTAAACTATTGTATACATCACATTGGAACTCAATGAGTCGATACACAAGTTCTTCGAAGTTATTTTAAAAACACAAATAGCATGGAACTTCTAAGGCTGGACGATGACGTTGTGACAAGAATAACTAGCAAAACATCTTGATAATTAGCAACTTTGTCATAAAAAAAACTCCTATAGTCGACTTCAGTGTACCCTTCAGGAGAAAAAAAACACTCGGTGGGATCAAACCCACTTCAGATCTAACAATATTCATTATTAAAATGGAAAAGTTCGTGAAAAATAAACGGTATAAGGTATTTCAGTGTGGTATTTTCTAACCTGTGGAATCTTTTCAATTCAGCTGAGTTAAATTGAAATCAATCTAATCTTTCTACATCATCGGATAGCTTATTAAATCATATTACTGAGGTTGAAAATGCCTCAAGAATTGCAACTTCAGTTGAGTTGAAGTGAAATCAATCCAATCTTTCTATATCATTTGCGCATCTCTTAACACCGAATTCTAACTTTAACGTACCATCCTTGAAGTATTTCTTTCTGCTTAGAAGTAAACGTTCAGAATTATTTCGCTAACAGTACAGCCTTAGCTGTATTTCAACAATGTCCAATAACAACACCACATACATTTCACAGAATAGTCAATCTTCTACTAGTTAATGTCATCTACCTCACTAACAGTGAAAATACACTAGAAATCTGTTTGAAATAAAAATCGAATAGCATCACTTATTGTTATTGTTCTTTAGACTCAATACATTCAGATTCATTGAAGCTGTGATTTCATATACGGGAGCTAGAAAAGTCGACGTTATTGCTCATTCTGTAGGTGTCGTTCTAGCCAGGTACGTTACTTTTAAGATTCTCACAACAACGTTATTTTAGCTCATTTGGCTTCTTACGATTATATCGTTGGGTCTGAAGAAGAATCGTTCCTTATGTGAAGATTGTTTGATTTTCAGAAAAGTACTGAAAGGAGGATCTCTTATTGGAACGGATGGCAATTGCACATTAGGACCACCGCTCACTTCTCGTATTGACACATTCGTCGGTATTGCTGGACCGAACTACGGTATGGCATTTCATATAAACTGCATAGAGAAATTTTCTCTTAAGACGTTTCAAAAAATGAACCTTCAAATGAATCAGTTCCATTGTGCTGACGTCTGCGAATGTACAGCGCTATCAATAGAGCCATGCCTTGTCAAGAACACCCTTCATTCTTACAGTTCTTTTTACTAGCTATACAGTTTGATCGAATGGATTCATCTAAACTGATGGCACGTCTCTAAAATATGCAAGCAACGTCCTCGTGATCACAAATTCAAACAGATCTCATTAAAATAATTTTAGAAAATTTTTATATGTAGTTTTTTTTGATTATACAGTAGTAATGAGCAATTAGGGGTCGCAGTGGCTCAGTGGTGGAGGTGCCGCAGTGACACGCCGAACCAAATCTGTTCGCGGACTCCCCTTACGCTTACCAAGCCAGTCATCCCTGCGGGGTCGGTAAATTGGTACCAGAGAAATCTGGGTAAGACTGGCCCTGACTTGGTGAAGAGTGGTCAACTCAAGTCACTGTATAGACGAGGCACGCATTCAACCACCTCCACGATATCACGTTGGACATGAATGCGTTGGCGCATCCCACCACAAGGAACTGATCAACGCCAGCAATCATTTCATCTTATCTAATGAGTAGTTAAATATTTAATCAATTATTAGTAAAAATATATTTGTTAAGGTCTATGTGTTTGTCAATTGGCGCAAACAGTACCGGCATGGTGTAACGCTCTTGATGGACTCTATCCAGGTTACACTTGTCAAGATCAGGTAGAATATGATTGTTGATTTATAAGGATTTCCTTAATGATAGAAATAATAATAAAATGCTATCAAAACGACAAATGAAGTTGTGTACTCCATTGATATTCATTTTGACGAGTTCGATCTGTACAGCACGAAAGACATCATCAGACTTCACACAACCACCAAGCGAAGTGTTCTGTTGTAGAGCTAATGAAAATGTTGACTCGTAACCGAACTAGATATTGTTATTGACTAACGTGCGGTAAATCGTATTCACTGACTGCTTCAAATTTTTGTGTAGATCAAATTACTATTCAATGTCTCATTAGGCTTAAAAGAATCAAACTCAAAACGTACATATCAAAAAGGAACACTATTCAAAATATTACTATCATCAAAATCAATGCGCGAATTTTTGATTCTCATCTAATGAAAAGTGAACTCACATCATATTGCACGCTGATGGGAATATCGTGGAATTAGTTACGGCTCAAATTCTGTAATATAGAATCATTTTTTCTAGAAAGGTGTTAAGGACTCATTGATGTGGTTCACGTGAATTCATTTTCATTATGAGTTGTCGAAGTGACTTCATGCTGCTTTGATCCACACTATTACTTGATCCCACTAATCACTGTCAACTTGATGTTACTTATTCTAGCTTAAACTATTCTGGCTTTCATTCATCGATCTTAAAGGAATGCTTGGTTTACCTCGGAATTGACTGAAACTCGTACACGTAAAACACCTAACGCTGTAGTACACGTTTTTTCACTCAGATTATAGCACCATAGAATCATTGACGGAGAAGATAGATAACTCCGTACCTGAATTTTATCACCTTTTATCGCTGCTTTATGCTTAATGACTTCTTAGAGTACTATTAAAGCTGTAAAGATTCTAGTAAGAACTCCTATAAAAGTTATACAATTGTCTACCATTTCTTCATCGGGATTATTTTGTTACTTTCACGTTATTACGAAAATTATTACAAAAATAACTTTGCAGCTTCTTTGCGGCTATACTTCGGGTAACTGTAAACAAGAAAACTATTCGGCGTTACTTGAAAAAATGAACAACGATCCAACTCGTGAGGCGGATCACGTCTATGCTATGTGGAGTGACGGTGAGTACAAGACACGTTTACCACATAAGTTTTATCCATCTACATCTTTCACTTTTATTTATCTTATTCATCAATTTCTGTTTCTATTCTTCTTTTTTTTGATTATAAATATCATGCATTCGATTCTCTACAATACCATATATTGGAAACACCTTCAAATTCAAGTTTTCCGAGAGGTAGCCTTTCGTCGTGCAGTAATAATGAAAAATTGAGAAATTATTAAGTAACCAGGTGTTTCCGTAGTGTAGCGGTTAACAATCTGGTCTTTGAATCCAGTAACGAGAGTTCGAATGTTACCAGAACCTTGCTTCTGCTAGTGAATGGTAGAATTGTAGCACAATAAAATTTACCTGCAGTTTTCGCAATATTAAATGTTAAGAAAACTTTTTCTTATGTTTATCTAGTAGGAACGAAACCACCTTTAACATTTCTCAAAAAATAGGCTTTCGTCGTACGATACTAATGAAAATATAAGGAGTTATTGAATAATCAGTAATGTAGCTTTTGATTGGGATTTCAGTCTCAAAAAAAGCAGTGAATTATATATTTTATTGGTCTCGTACTTGTTTTTGACTCATTGATCCTTATGTGAGTGGGAAGATACCTGTATGAGTGTTGTGAGTTTCTGATGTTGGATAAGAAAAAAATATTTGCATGATAACTAGAATCGATCAGAAACTTCCTTTTCTGAATAATGATGTCTTCATCTCAAGATATATGTAGCGATGTCTGCTATTCATAGCAATCTGTTTTAGTTGACGAAGTGCTCCTATTCCGAGGAATGACGTGGGGAAAGCCGACATCGCGAATCCCAGGAATGAACGGACGCTGGGTGTCTGATCGAAACGGCCACGTTGCCATGAAGGATCTCACTGAATTGCGACAATACGAAGCTGTTGTGCATCATTCTATCTGAATTTCATTCATGATGTCATTTAACTTCTTAAAATGCTGGACAGTTATAGTGCAATACTAATGTGTTCATAAGAAAACGCTGTAAATTACTGTACAAAGCTTGTTGCATCATATTTTGACTCAATGACTAGACCTCGATGTGTTTTGTACTCCTCTATTTACTTGTTCTCATATAGTAATTAACAATCATTATGGATTATTTTTACGTATAACGTTAGGGGTAGAATTTAGCGCTCAATATAGTAAGTGCAAAGTTTTCTATAAGCATTTAAAGAATGAGCCCCCATTGTTTATTTTTTCTAATTTGTACGAAGAAAGAAGAAATGACGTCATAGGAAGAACAGCTTCTTTAGAAGTGAGTTCTTCGTTGAGTTCACGGCAATGAGTTTTATTTGGTATTTCATTAGTGAAGTTGTTTATCTTTCGGTTCTTGAGAAATCTTGAGAAATCCAATAAATCTTAATATATTATATTTTTCGTCCTTAATTTAAAAATTGTATCAGATTTGCACAAATTGTTTGGCTTTGAAGCATTTACAGCGATCTTATCGTTGACTTACTGGATTTTTTTGAGGAGTTTTCTTGGCATAGAACACTTACAAAATCACTTTCTTTGAAAATATAAATTTATCATGAGTGAAATGATGATTACTCATTGGAGGTAACACTGGAACCTCATTCTGCAACTTTTCATATCTAAGTAGAAATGTCATTTGGTTATATGACGCTAAACATAGCAACATATTCAGCACTCCTATTGTGTGATTAGCAGCGAAAAAATTTACGAGGAAGAAAAGCATGCTTGGAAGTAGATCAAATTCGAAACAAGAAGGTATTTTAAACGCCGGAAGAGTTAATGCCATTCAAATTTGAGGCGAGTCTGAATGATCGTGTTTCGACAAGCATGGTAATCACCGCTATCACTCGTTACATTTGTGATACGGGCAAAATTTTTTGCCCATACTGGAAGGGCCCACAGATTAGTACGACGTTCTTCGTTCTTCTACCACCCGAAACAAATGTCGAGTGAGACTTAATTTTGCAGAGGTGATAATGATTCAGCCCATTTATTGGCTGCCCTCATAACAGAAAAATGTTCAAAAGCGAAAAATAACTAATCAGTAAGGAATGGCATGAACTGTTACCTTATATAAGAAGAGTGAGAGAGCGAAATAGTGTTTTGGACTGATGCCTAACTTGTAGGTTTGAGGTGTTCCTCAAGTAATCGACTGACGTCTTGTTGTAGTATGTGTAAATTTCAGTAGATCAAAAATAATTAATCCAACAAAGTACACGTCATTAGTTGTGCAACCATATGGACTACAGAAAAACTGAAGCAGGTATTATTAAGGTCTGTCAAAAACATCACCTGCTCTTGATTCCAGCTTCAGTTGTCTGTAATGCAAAATCTGACAGCTCTGAAAAAACAAACTGTGCTGGCGGTACCTGTTGGTGAAGCGTAACTGACCTTTATAAATACAACGGAGGAATATTATGAAACTAACATTACGAATACCTAATAGGAAAAAAGTACTACAAGGAAGTACAATTTTGCTAGATCTCTATATTGACGCCTTGTCACTGGTAACAAAGTCGTTTAAAGATGTAGTGCTAGATTGGAAAGATGACTGTAGAAATCAAATTGAGTCTTATGGGCTTGTTTGATGAGAAACTGATATGCCTAATCCTTTGTTTCGTTAAAGAGCTCCGTGAGCATAGAGAGCAACAAGATATCTCCGTTCACCCACATACAGCACCTAAGATAGCCGTCTAGAAAGACAAAACGCCATCAAATTGTCTTGAAACACTAGGCCGTAGTACATATAACTTAGTGTATTAACTTGTTGCACTATAAGTTTAAATACCTTCCTAAAACAACACCCCTGAATTGTAATCATCTTTTAGAAACCTCAATAAGTGATGGGCACACAAAGCTTGAGAGTTTTAGTTTTTTCATAATCATAACAAAATGCTATATTAAAAACTGGTACGAAATTAAGCGGGACTTTGATTTTTGATACGTTTGTCATCCGAATGAAGCCCTGTACTTTTGAACAGAATAATGAAATCATTAAGAAATAGTGAAGTGTTTCCTAAGGAGTTTCTTTCGTATTTGAAATAGTGAAAAGCTATTATGGTACGGTAGGAACTTACAATGAAAAATCTGACTGATGTTTCATGTAAGTTGTAAAGTCTGCAAAAATAAATGACGATTTTATTCACAAGCTTCTGTTAAGAATGAAATATCTGCATACGGTTTCTAACGGAAGAGAATCCCGATTGAAAGCCATGCAGTGCTCCTTAAATTCTTGGAAATCGTTTTATAACTTGATTTCACTCATTCCCTCTCTCTCTCTCTCTTTCTCCCTCTTAATGTGATGCAATCATTTGATTGATGAATGGCTGATGATGCCATCAGCTTTACAACTGACAATCGATCACATCACATCTAAGTGGTAGAGTTACTCGAGTAAATGATGAGATGATTATCAGTTTTGGTAAGATGGCTATGTAATTTTTCTCTAATGTAATCTTGTATGGATAATTAAGAACTCATCCTGTCATTTGTTTCATTAAGACGATTACTTTCTAGAAAAAATCGTAGTGATTTTCGCGTCGTTTATGTTAAATGAGAGATTCACAATTCTTTTGAGTTTTTGAATGCTTCACATCATATCGGAATAGAACGAACTCACATCATTCTGAGAAATTTCTTTCCTCATTAGATAACAATCATAAAACGAAAAGGAATATACTGAAGAAAACATGACATTCTTCAACTTCATCACAACCATACAAATACAAATACAAATACATTGATGAAAGCTTAAATTTCTCAGATCATCGAATAAAGCTTATAACGTCGTACGTTGCATAAAAGCTTTACAATTCTTGTACGAATTTCAAAGGTCTACCTAGAAAAGAAACGAAACGTTGATATAGAGGAGACTTCAGTACGTCATTAATAATTCTACAAAATGCGATTACTGTAATTTCATATGCAGTAAAGATTTAAATATACAGAAATGTTAGGTAGAGATCAAAGTTCATCTACGTAGCACTCAGTCAAGCTTAATTTTCTTCAGAAGGAAAAATTCTCACCAGATTTCTTCAATGAGTAGTTTACATCACAATCAAATTCCTAACCTATTACTTACATTCTCGGCAAAAGCCTATTCAAAATAAACGGAATATCTATTGTGAAAAATTGAAAGGCACTGTTTATTTCATCCGAAGAACAGCAGAACTCATTGTTTTTACTAAAGTGACTAGAAATACCTTTCAATTTTCTAAATATTTGTCATGAAAAACTCTTTACAACAAACATTTGTGCTTTCAGGCACACGTCACAGAATTCTGATCTCTCAGTAGACTTAAATTAGATGAAGCTCGCTACCGAAGAAGAAGAGACGTGAGGATGATGATGATGGAGAGAACGGCAATAATGCTTCTCTTTCCAGTTGCGTTGGCATGAAATTTCATTGTTAAAGTTTTTTCCGGTGCTATGGATCGACAACAAAAACGACTGTTTCCATTAATCAATTGATGATGTCTAGAATTAAAGCTGTAGATGAGTTAAAGAGGTACGGATTAGATCAAATTTGATTACCTTCGTCTATCAGAAATACGCTTGAGAATGTCATTGCTAAAGCGTCGGCGTCGATCTTTGACGTCCATACTCCATATACGAATGAGACGTTGTGCAACTGAAGGTAACGTCGAGTATGAACGACATCTAGCATGTGGATGCATTCCAATGATAGAGCAAATTTTTTCCTACAAAACACATTTCTGAAGTCACGACGAATATTGTTTCTAAAAGAACTTAGTTCTTTAAGAAAATAGTATACAAATCGCTTGCAGTTATTTTTTTGAGAAAAAAGTTAAAGGTTCTAAGATACATTGAACTCTGCACATTGAATAGATTTCAGAAATCTGTATCACTTCAGTGCTGCTTATTTTTCAAGAAACCTTTCGAACCAGTCCATCAATCCCGGAAAAAGACCGAAAGATATAGAAGCGTCCACAAATCGCAGTTCAGGTAAAGTGTGGTCCGACTGTGGCATTAAGCGCTAATATCATTAACAACATCATTAATTGAAATAAAGGTAAGAGCCCGATCTACAGGAACTCTCAATTCATGCTAGCAATGGTAATTCATACATCCTCTCTTTGAATTCCTCATTGGTTTTTTTCTCCTCGGAGAGCATCTTATGTCGTGTGATGCCATTAACACATCACACTAAGAGTAACGTTGAATTAAAAGCAATCAAAAATACAACTGCTTCGAAAAGTGCATAGGAATTAATGTTTTTTTTTCGACTTTCAAAATAGTTTTCTAGTTGACTCGCACTTAAGTTCCCTTTCAACCTCCATTATCATCCATCACG